AGCGTGTGGTGAGAGCGAGAGCGTGTGGTGAGAGTGAGAGCGTGTGGTGAGAGTGAGAGCGTGTGGTGAGAGCGTGTGGTGAGAGTGAGAGCGTGTGGTGAGAGTGAGAGCGTGTGGTGAGAGCGTGTGGTGAGAGTGAGAGCGTGTGGTGAGAGTGAGAGCGTGTGGTGAGAGTGAGAGCGTGTGGTGAGAGCGTGTGGTGAGAGTGAGAGCGTGTGGTGAGAGTGAGAGCGTGTGGTGAGAGTGAGAGCGTGTGGTGAGAGTGAGAGCGTGTGGTGAGAGTGAGAGTGAGAGCGTGTGGTGAGAGTGAGAGCGTGTGGTGAGAGTGAGAGTGAGAGCGTGTGGTGAGAGTGAGAGCGTGTGGTGAGAGTGAGAGTGAGAGCGTGTGGTGAGAGTGAGAGTGAGAGCGTGTGGTGAGAGTGAGAGTGAGAGCGTGTGGTGAGAGTGAGAGTGAGAGCGTGTGGTGAGAGTGAGAGTGAGAGCGTGTGGTGAGAGTGAGAGCGTGTGGTGAGAGTGAGAGTGAGAGCGTGTGGTGAGAGTGAGAGCGTGTGGTGAGAGTGAGAGCGTGTGGTGAGAGTGAGAGCGTGTGGTGAGAGTGAGAGCGTGTGGTGAGAGTGAGAGCGTGTGGTGAGAGTGAGAGCGTGTGGTGAGAGTGAGAGCGTGTGGTGAGAGTGAGAGCGTGTGGTGAGAGTGAGAGCGTGTGGTGAGAGTGAGAGCGTGTGGTGAGAGTGTGTGGTGAGAGTGAGAGTGAGAGCGTGTGGTGAGAGTGAGAGCGTGTGGTGAGAGTGAGAGCGTGTGGTGAGAGTGTGTGGTGAGAGTGAGAGTGAGAGCGTGTGGTGAGAGTATTGACAACAGTAACTGGCTTAAACAGAATTGAAAAAAATAAAAGTGTTAACAGGAAACGGAACACGTAGAATAACACAACTTTAGGGAGAAGAAAATAAATTAAAGATAAAAATAAATAAACAATAAATAAAATGACGAAGGATAAATAAAAGTCAGTTAAGGGGCTTCAGTTACGATCATGGTTACCATACGGATCGTGTAGTGTCAAACAACAACTGCCGTAAATGGTTTCGACATCAGACAGGAAGGAGACGCGTTCTCGCACATGCGCAGTACAGATCGTGTTTCCGGTACGGATCGAGTAGTGACAGGGCCCTCCAAGTCCATCAGCGAAGGCTAGGCTACATGTCATGCTCACGTCAATCTTTTATGGTCATGTGACCCAGGGTGACGAATCCCCCTGAATATTCATTTTAAACCCAGATGGCGGGAGAGTTCGAGGTAACGTACAAACAGAATAATTATCAAGTTGTTTTGTTTTGTGTGTAATAGATTACACAAATTTATGTCATACATTTCATATGAGGTTTACATTTCATGTGTAAGAAACGAATTTATATAGTGTCCAAACAAGAGACAGAAGGTTTTGTTTTAATCCTCTGGTGCTGTTCAGTTGTTTTTGAGCGGAAAATTTTACGTTTTGAATTTTTTTTTTCTTCCCTGTGGTACAAAACTTGTTAAATGTTTTGGTACTTGCTGTGTGAACACAAACAAATATGGACATGATTCGAAAAGGTTGAACTGGCCTGAAAAAACTAGTCACACTTTTGCTCCTCGCCGTCAAAAATCGTCAAAAATGAGCGCATTGATTGTAGTAACGAATTTCCTCTAGTGGACGCGTTCGGCACTGCAGCCAAACACACTCTCACCGAAAGCTTGTTTTTTGAGGTATCAACAATCAACCTCAAATTTGGAACACAACTTGTTTAGATTTGTTACTTAAATATTATAGATTTTCGAGTAAAACGTGTTTTGTAAAATATATATTTCACATAACACTTAAAAATAGTAGGCCTACTTTTGTGTGTTTTCCATAATCATAAACTTAAAGCTACAGTCCGTATCTTTTCCTCTTTGTCGCCATCTCTACTGCAGTGATTCGCGGAATTATTATCTTTACGTGGGTTGTAAATCGGCATGAAACAGCGCGGATGTACACAGTGCTTTGAGGCGAGTGCTGCTGTCAGTCACCGCGCTGTGTGGATACTGGCATACAGAATCAGATTCACTTTTTGAAAGTTTGACCAACATAAGAATTTTCATAAGAAAATGTCTTCTGAACAAGTAAGTAACACCCATTTTTGTTCTGACCAACTAAGGGGGAAAAAGCATTCGACATGATAAGCTTCGTTAGATTTAATCAACGCGATTTACAGCAACCGTGCAAATTATAGCCTACTTTGTTCTCAAATTGTTCATGTTAACAACATCACATCAGCATTGCGTGACTATTGTTAAATTTAATGTGTTTTATGGTTACCTGTGTAGTTCAGAATTCATATTCTCCATAATAGCAAAACGAGAAAGGCACAACAAAGGAAACTCCATAACTGTGTGAATTAAGAAAACGTACTGTTACACGATTGAACTATTGAAATGTCTTACTTGTTCAGCAGAAAAAAGCCGTCTCTTCTTCCGTTTTGAACCCCTTCAAAACACGGAGTTCACGCACTTTTCAAAAGCCCCGCCGATGTTTCAATCCTTGTGTTCGCATGAGACGGTTTCTTTCTCTTTCTCTAGCCACCTTAAATCCGAAGTACGAAGTCTTTTGGGTTTTATAACTGCTGAATCTCCAGTTGACACTGATGATTGTTGTTTGGATCTTTCTGGATGCCATAAGTTTAATCATGTAAAGTGCTGCGAGAAAAGCCTATACATCTAAACATCTCGTCACGCGCAGTATAGCCGGCTAGCCGAAACTCCTTCTTTATGTGTACGAGTGTGACGTCATGACGCAAAGACATGCTCGAATTTCCCGCGGAAACCCACCAGTACCACTGGAATTAAAATCATTATTACAAGCTAACCGTTTTGAATCTAGCTATGGCAAGCAGATAGTTTTGACCACTGGCAGAATAAGTTTTTTTTAATATAATTATTTTGGATTATTTTTAACTTAAAAAAGTTACGGACTGGAGCTTTAAACTTCTATAACTTTTTTTTATTTTCACTTTTTTTTTTTACATAAACCCCCTAAAAATACAAAATATTAAATAAAAAAAATATTATTGAACGAAAATATAGTACATTTATTTCATTAAAAAAATAATAATTTGGTAACACTTTACTTGAAGGGGTGTGCATAAGACTGACATGACACCTTCATAATCATGACATGATGACACCTGTCATGAATATGAAGAAGGTTTTATGCATGTTTATGAAGTGTCATTCGCTCAATTATGACATTTTTAATGCAAACATGACATTGTTTGAGATGTCTTTGTTATGACAACTTGACATAAACCATAACATCATAACCTGTCAGTGTCTTTGTCATGACAACTTGACATTACTAAGACAACACAACCTGTCATAAATATGACATAGCAGATTAATTATCAAACTTAAGAAACCACTTAGCTTTATGGGTTAACATTACATTAAACTGTCATGTGGTTGGTTTTGACATTGGCTGTCATAAGGCCATTATAACATTTTAATGACAAATTCAATTTGTACCACTGTAGTTGAGCTCAAGAAAAATATTCATGACAGTTATAATGGCCAATGTCAAAACCAACCACGTGACAGTTTAATGTAATGTTAACCCATAAAGCTAAGTTTGATAATTAATCTGCTATGTCATGTTTATGACATATTTATGACAGGTTGTGTTGTCTTAGTAATGTCAAGTTGTCATGACAAAGACACTGCAGGTTATGATGTATTGGTTTATATCAAGTTGTCATAACAAAGACATCTCAAACAATGTCATATTTGCATTAAAAATGTCATAATTGAGCGAATGACACTTAATGACAGTTGTCATAAACATGCATAAAACATCCTACATGTGTCCAGTCATGATTATGAAGGTGTCATGTCAGTCTTATGCACACCCCGTCAAGGGCTACCAATAATTTTTTTTTTTGGTACCAGCACCAGAGGGTTAAAGTTGATAGCAGAGACAGAACAAACAATATATACAAAGCATATTTTAAAAAGTCCATACTAAAATGCTAATTTATTTGCAACAAATATTTATCACATATCGCAATTTGTTACATTAACGGAGCAAATATGCGAAATTCCTGTTGCAAGAACACTGCGTCGTCACTGTAACATTCCAGGTGAAGATAATGATAATATAACCTAATATAATAATCATATATCAACTGTCTGACCCTCATATACTGAAAGTAACACCTCCTGGTCTAAGCTCGAAATCATGCATTGCTCCACTAAACAACATCACCATGAAGTTTTTACGATCAAAATGCACTTGTTATGCAACTGAGTTGTGTAATACGGACTGATTATATATTTCACACCTCTTCACACACGCACTCACACCACCTCTGTTGCCGAAATGTGGAAAATGCAGAACAATGGCAGTGTTTCGCAGTCGTCCTGAAAACGGGTGGATCTGCATGAAAGCAGAGGATTTTTCATCTGTTTAACTTTTATCCAGTGCGGATTCCAACAGCTTTTGGTCTTAATGCTACATAACATTATTCGGTTACACTGGAGTCATTGTTACATTTAAGCACTGAGTAATACCACTATAGGGTTATAGGATTAGGGTTTGGTTGAGGGTTAGTTGCATGTAATTATGGTATTACTATGGTATAAGTAACATATGTAACAAGGACACTGTAAAATAAAGTGTCACCCATTAATCTTAATATCAGCGCCGTTTCAATGTGGTGTTGTTGTGTTGTCAATGCATCTGATTATTAGAGTAATTGCAAAACCATGTGCGTAGCTGCTATTTGATGGCAATCTTCTGGATTCATAATGCAGATTACAGTGTGTTGCGGTGGATTTTAGAGTATATTTCACTGCGTGACTGTCCTCGGCTGAGCATCTATGTGGATTCTGGTGTTTTTGACAAGCAGCAAGTGAATTTTGCAGTGTCTCTGAGGATTTGGTGTTTATATAATATCTCTCTCTCTCTCTCTCTCTCTCTCTCTCTCTCTCTCTCTACGCAGGATTCAACGAACTTGAACTCGGAGAGGAAGCAAGCAGCCCACTTCCTATCGTCATGGCAACAGCATGTGAATGCGTTGAGCCAGAGAGAGAGAGAGAGAGAGAGAGAGAGAGAGAGAGAGAGAGAGAGAGAGAGTGGGAACAGCATCCGAAGGCACGGCTCGTTCTCCAGAGCGAATGACAGGTAAGACGGAGAACACGTTTTGAGACGGTTGGGTTTGATCGTCCTCAGGTCTCGGGGAAATGTCCTTTACTGCATTTTAAAGGTTGGTCGATTTCATGCCTTTGCGTATGACGCTCGTCCTCTGCGGCAATACTGTGCGTTTTGGCGAAGTGACCTCTGACTTTGGCCGTGCAATGACAGTAACACTTTCTAAATTCATGGTTTTTCATTAGCATTTTTATTTTTGCATATGTATTCCAACATGGCAACTTGTGTCATGCACATCAGGATGGTTATGAACATATATTTTTCTGGTTGTGAGTAGCAACGTCACAATGCACATGCAACAGCATGTGAGTCGCGAGATAGATGTGTGTGTTCTTTAATGTTTTGTTTGATTTGAAGGATGCTTATGTGGGTTCATGTGGACCGCTGGTGGTCAGGGATGCTGCTTATTATCCGCACAGAGCGACAGGTTGTCTAGGTTTGAGATCCCAGCCATTGAAAAGCAGGTCTTAACATTAGGTATCATTTTCTGATCTATATGTAGTTGTCCTGATGCTTGGGACGCTCTACAGGTCTCTTTCAGCCTTCGTTTTAAGATCTTTTCTATAATCTTCATCATGTTTCCTCTTATGGCATTTGAATGTCCTTTTATACACATACTGTGTCTGAGACATTTTATATTTTTAATCATATTTTACTATAATTGTATGTTTTGAAATGTAATTAGCATTGGGCTTGACTCTGTTATATAATGGATGCATTCAGTATTTACATGATGGTGTATGGTGGGTTTGGCTGTCTGAGACACTTTGAATAAATTACATGAATAAATTGACTTTTTTTTTAAAAATTGAATAAATCATGAGTCATTCCAGTGAAAGCAGATTGCAGATATTCTGTGCGATCATTTTGTTTTTGTTATTTTTCCAGCAATGACGTGTAACATGACATCATCACTTAAATAATATTATATTAACCCCTTAACTGTCACACACACACCCCATTATACTTTATTACCCCCCCCCCACACACACACACACAGTTTTTGTACTAAAAAAAAAACATATTTTATACACAATATGTATTTTAGAAAACAATTTTTTATCTAAAAATGCTGTGGACAAAAGCTTGTTTATGCCTCGGAATAAAACAATTTTAAAAGATAATTGGGACTTTTTAGCTCGCATTTCTGACTTTTTCTTTTTCTGGCTTTTTTTCTCTCACAATTGCGCTTTTGTATCTCGCAATTCTGACTTATTTTTTCAGAAGTGCATGATATAAAATCGCAATTGCCTCCGAATTGGACTTTATAACTCGCAATTGCAACTTTAAATCACGCAATTCTGACTTTATAACACGCAATTGCGAGTTTATATCACATAATTCTAAGAAAAAAGTCAGAATTGCAAGATATAAAATCGCAATTGTGAGAGAAAAAAAGTCAGAAATGCGAGCTAAAAAGCCGCAATTATTATAATTTCTCAGTGGCGGAAACAAGCTTCCATAAAAGCTATATGTCTAACCAAGTTTCGTTCCAAATTTGAACTTGATATCACAAAAATGTAAGCTCCCATGAGATTTTATTTATGCGCTCACATTCTATTGAATTTTTTATATTTTTTGCGTTCTCCTGTCACAAAGTAATACATTTCTCTCTCAAAACAATCCCCAAACATGGCAGCTTGAGTCTCAGGCCTTTCCAACGATATGTTTTTCCAGGATTAGAAAGAAGATTCGATTATAAAAAGTGCAGTAAATTTTGTAATATGAAACATGACACCGCCCACCAGAGAGGGAGGAGCCCGATTAAAGGAATTTAAGTTCTGTTTCCATGGTAACGTAGTGTCCGATTTCAAAGTGCCTTTAACGGGATGAATGTGTGAGCTTTCGAATGATACCTAATTTATGATAATTACGGTAATAAAATATGTGATAGGGAAGGGGTTAATAATAAAGAAGTTTATTTCGGCCCTTGGGCTGCACAAGAAGGGAGATATAAGGAAAATAATTCAGAAGATCACTTTGATGGCTGTAAATGCCAGTTTTATTTCTTTTATTTCCAACTTTCAGAAAAGATAACCACTAAGGCCAGACTGTTGCTAATGACTTTGGTAAGATGATACAGAGGAGGGCCTTGTAACCCTCACCTGAGCCTTACCTGTCCGTACTGAGAGTGCAATGTTCGATGAAATGACGTGGTGAATTCCTACAGTATTTAAAAAATCAACCTTTTCATTTTGCGTGGCGTTCTGTTGTCCTTCGCCACTCGTGATGGCTTCTGAGAGCAATAATATTAATGTGTAAATGCAGTTGAGATTTCTCTGGAGTCTCTGTATGGATGAACAGGTAACGGTTGCCATGGCAAACACCCACTCATGTGCCAAACTAAGACCGAGATGGGCAGATTTTAAAGCATTTGGACAATGATGTCACCCAGTGATATTTTTAGTGGGAAAGATTATTTTATTGGTAACACTTCACAATAAGGTTCATTAGTTAACTACATTAGTTAGCATGAACTCATAATGAACTGCACATATTTATTAAACAGCATTTATAATTTTTTTTACTTGACATTAGTTTATGCACTAACATGAACAAACAATGAACAGCTTTATTTTTATTAACTCATATTAACAAAGATTAACAAATACAGTAACAAATGTATTGCTCATACAGGTGAAACTCGAAAAATTAGAATATCGTGCAAAAGTTCATTTATTTCAGTAATTCAACTTAAAAGGGGAAACTAATATATTATATAGAGACTCATTACATGCAAAGTGAGATATTTCAAGCCTTTATTTGTTATCATTTTGATGATTATGGCGTACAGCTGTGAAAACCCCAAATTCAAAATTAGAATATTGTGAAAAGGTTTTCATATCTGTAAGCCATCACAATTATAACAAATAAAGGCTTGAAATATCTCACTTTGCATGTAATGAGTCTATATAATATATTAGTTTCACCTTTTAAGTTCGAGTTTCACCTCTAGTTAGTTCATGTTAGTTAATACATTAACTAATGTTTAATAAATGAACCTTACTGATGTTTGAAATGTTCAAACCATCAAATGAAGGTGAGGATTACCCATAGCCATTGGTTGCTTTATCGTACTGTGACCATTGAGACATATCTTTTTCTTCTTTTTTTTTTAGTTAGTCATCAATATGCCGTGATTCATTAATATGAATACTGCTGTCATTTCCATTTGTCTGATATACAAATACCGTAATTCCTCAAATAAAGACCGGTATTCAAATAAACGCCGGGCCTCTGATAGTGGCCGGGGGCGTGGTCAACGCGGACAAATAAAGGCCGGTCTCAAATTAAGGCCGGGGAAAGATTAGTGTACACTCAAAGACGGACTCGCTCAGCGGTTGTCATATCACAACTATTCAGTGTTTTTAACCACATGTTTATTTTAGGTTTCAGACATTTAAATAGATATGATTTATAGCAAAACAATACATTTATAGTTTGTAAAATACACAATGGTGTCTATGGAAGCAGCAATAACAATCCATTCAAATATATTTGGCGACATGTTTTATTCATATCAGATACACAGTGTAAGTAACTATAAAGTTTATTCTTCTCCCAGTTGATCGGCCACTTACTTTCATGTATTTCGGGAGAAACTGAAGAATTCACACGCTGTAACGTAACAAATCCAACAGACAGGAATCTCTGAACTGCGGTGCCCATCTCACGTTACAGATCAAGATCATTTATAAAGGGTTTTAAACGACAAAACAAACTCACACGGATTTGAGAGTCAGAATAGAAGATAGTTGATGACATGGTAAGCAAGTTTGTTAATATTTAGAAATAAAAGCGCTACATCTGTCATATAGCGCTATTTTGGCTGTGGTGAACACGTGCCAAGCATGACGCGTCACCATGGAAACTTGGCTGGCGGGCGGGGATCGCGAATTAGAAATAAAGGCCTGCCTCTAATAAAAGCCTGCTTCAAATAAAAGCCGGCTACCATCTGCAGTTCAGGTAAATAAAGGCCCCGGTCTTTATTTGAGGAATTACGGTACGTCATGAACTAATGTTAACTAATGAACCTTATTGTAAAGTGTTACCATTTTATTTTATAACATCACAGCCCTGCAATGAATTATCCTTTCTGTCGCCCCATTCAGGTTCCCCATTTTCAAGAATAGTTTGAAGGAGCCAATGGAATATTTCTCATGAGAAAGTGCTGAACTGAAATCCAAGATGGAAAACACAACCCTGCTTTGTTCTGCCCAGGGCTGGTGCGGCCCAAACGTATCCACCTTTTCATCCGAGTGGGATGATAGCGTGAACTCGTTTCTGACGGCACCTGACGTGATCAAACCCCCTCCGCAGTTCCAGGATCCAGAGGACCCGAGCCAGGAATCACCGGCAAACTCAAGACGGGATAAAGACGGTGTGAGGAAAGAGCGTAGGAGTCGACCAACCAGTAACATAGAGCTCCACAGACGCTCCTTGTCACTTTCCACTTCTGTCAATCCCAACCCAGGTGTGGCGAGACGCCGATGCGAAAGCTACGCGCTGTCATATCCCAGCAGCAGCTCGGAGGACAGCGACAGCAACTCCACAAGAAGAGGAGACCGACTTCCCGATGCCGTACCTCGATCTCGATCCCGAAGCATCGTCCTCAAGAAGCCCAAAAGAAAACCAGCTCCACCTGTACGAACCGTGTCCCTCCAAAGGCTCGCGGCGGAGCATAAAACACAGGGACTTCACCTTAGAAAAGACTCCCAAAGCATCAAGACACTCCCAGATCTCATTCCAACCTCGAAGCAAGACGTCGGCAAGTGCAAGAAACCAACGGAAGCGCCTTGCAAGATGGCGTTGAAGACATCAGTCTCCGGTCACAGGGCCTTAAATGAGCTTCGCTCCAGCGAACCGTGCAAGTCCTCCGTGGCGACTCCAATAAATGAATGTATCTCGGATATAAACACATCCCCGTCGTCATCACACTCTTCCCAGCCCTCAATCTCTTCGCCTTCAAAGCGCAACTCTCCATCGAGCGGCTACGCGAGCCAATGTGAAACACCAACTCAGTCGGTCCTGTCCTGTAGGATGCGCCATAAGCCTTCCAGTGTTATTCCAGGCCAGAGAACCAAACACCGTAACGCGAGGCTTTCTCTTCAGCTTCCTGAATTTCAACAACACACTCCCGATCCAGAGCCTTCAGTTCAGCCCAAAGTGAATCGGCGTTACTCGGACAGCACTGAATCCACCAGACCCAAGCAAAGGATGAGTAACAGCATGATGATAATGCCAGTCGTTACCCAGGAGGACTTGAATAGTGTGCGTTTACGGGCAGTCAGTAGCACTGATCTGGAGAACGCGCCGGAAACTACATCTGGCATTATCGAGGAGGAGACTGGGAACAATTTAAGCCCTACAAACAACCAAAAAGCCAAACCACCAGTGGCTCCGAAGCCACAGAGAAATAAATGGCCGCCCAATTCTGTGGTTCAGCCACGTTTCGGAGCAACTTCTAATGCAGAAACGCCAACGGTCATCGCCAGTGAGAGATCAGAAGACATTTACGCAATGGTTAACAAAGCAAAACCAACAGTGACTACTGTACCTTCACAAAGTACTGAACAAGCACATCATCTGTTTTTGGAAGGGTTGCCTCAACCCCCATGCGCTTTTCAGCCACAGAATCCAAACGTGGTCCCCTTCAACACCACCACCTATTGTAACCAACTCCATAAGAAGAGAAGAGCGCCACCCCCTCCTCTGGCAAGGACTCCAGCTGTGGACAATTCGCTTTATCACAACTCAGACGCTCTGAAGAGCCCAGGCGAAGCCCAGTCGCCATCAAACCTCTGCAAGTCTCCAAAGTCCCCGACCTCTGCAAGTCAATATCATGTTACTTTATATGGCGTCATCCCAACGTACCCTTCGGTCACTGAGCAACAGCACTCAAGTGCACCAGGTAAGAGAAATATAACACCGTGTCCTAACCTGACAAACGCGACACGCGATAAAAGGTATATTTTCCAGGTTAATCAGAGTTTTTGCGCGATACGCGATGATTCTATTTTAGAAACGGTTTCTATAGAGAGCGTAAGCCCCTCCCCTCCGCTTCCGGCTCATGGGACCTTATTTCGGAAAAAATATGTATTGTAGTCAATGGCGAAAGACAACTTATCTCGTTAGTCCGTCTGAACTGTGCCCTGAATTACACATGTGATGTTTGTCAATTTAAAAGATAAGTATTAAAGTCAAGAAAGTCGCAGTTTGTCATAAAACAGAAGAGTAACATTTAGTTTTATGTGAAAATCGCTCAATGAACTACATCTGCCGGGAAGCGAAACAACGAGCGAGATCCGCTGCTCGTGTGTGTGCAGTCTGGTACAAAACACTCAGGCATGACAGCGTAACATTACGATTATAACGCAAGACTAGAGAAACAATGACAGACGTTAGCTTCAGTAAAGTTAGCTTCAGTAAAGTAAGCTTCAGTAAAGTTTGCTTCAGTAAAGTTACCGTAGCTTCAGTAAAGTTAGTTAGCTTCAGTAAAGTTAGCTTCAGTAAAGTTAGCTTCAGTAAAGTTAGTTAGCTTCAGTTAAGTTAGCTTCAGTAAAGTTACCGTAGCTTCAGTAAAGTTAGCTTCAGTAAAGTTACCGTAGCTTCAGTAAAGTTAGTTAGCTTCAGTAAAGTTAGCTTCAGTAAAATTACCGTAGCTTCAGTAAAGTTAGCTTCAGTAAAGTTAGCTTCAGTAAAGTTAGCTTCAGTAAAGTTACCGTAGCTTCAGTAAAGTTAGCTTCAGTAAAGTTACCATAGCTTCAGTAAAGTTAGTTAGCTTCAGTAAAGTTAGCTTCAGTAATGTTACCGTAGCTTCAGTAAAGTTAGCTTCAGTAAAGTTAGTTAGCTTCAGTAAAGTTAGCTTCAGTAAAGTTACCGTAGCTTCAGTAAAGTTAGCTTCAGTAAAGTTAGCTTCATTCATTGAGAGAAAATGTGTGCCTTTGGGGTTTGTAGGGTTTGTAATCTTTGTAATTACGTATTTTCACAGTCTTATACCTCAACAGTTTTACATCAAACTGCGACTTTCTTGACTTTATAATGTATCTTTTAAATTGACAAACATCAGATGTGTAATTCAGGGCACAATTCAAACGAGATCAAAATATTTGTTGTCTCTCGCCATTGACTACCATACAATATTTTTCCGAAATAAGGTCCCATGGTGGTCGACCGGAAGGGGAGGGACTTAGGCTCTCTATTTCTGCGACGTCGCGGCTGGAACAACAACAGAAAGTATGATAATCTCAGGTACTGTTTATGTGCTTTATTTAATGTTAAAAGTATTTAATGAATATAATTTTGTGTGTATTTTATAGCCATACAAGCACCAATTTACATCAGATTTTCAAAATAAAAAAGTACGTTCAAACTGTCAACTCAATGTTAACAGAGAAGTGTATTCTATGACAACTATTCTTTCAGTAACTCAAATGTATTATATACTCAGTATGTATCCATTTCGTTGCGAGTGCCGAGAGCTCTTCTGATTGGCTGTGGTTTTTATCGCGTCCCATAGTCGCGTCGCGTCTGGTGTGGACAGACAAGTTATTAGTCGCTGGAATCTTATCGCATCGATTCTGGTTAGGACGCGGTGTAATGGACTGAATTTTATCTTTCGGTTTGTGAAACTGCCATGTTCTGTACCATAATCAATAGTTGCTGTCTCATCATGTCAACAGATCATCCAACATACGACGTAGAGAAGAGGGAGCGAATGCCAGACCTTGGACCTTTACAATTAGTAGGAGAGGAAGATGATGTATTTCTTTACAAGTCCAAATCTCAAACAACGGAGGATCTATTCACCATAATTCACAGGTAGGGTTGGGTATCGTTTGAATTTGAACGATTCTGATTCTGATTCTTATCGATTCCTAATTTCGATTCCAATGAGGTAAAAAAAAAACGTAGATATCATTTACATTTATTCTGAGTCTTATTGCAAAACATGTCATTTTAGCTGAATAACATGAACAAACATCAACAGGCTAAAGAACACTTACACAGGAACTTTTGCCCACGGTTTAAAAATACCATCGCAAAAACAACTAGCCGAACTGATATACATTAAAAAAATTATTACAGTAATGACTCAGTAACAATAATGAACAAACAAATTAGCAATCGCACAAATAAATACAACTGAACAAAGATACAATTGAAATTAACAGTGTTTTAAGATTTTCAGGTATTCCGGTACAGAAACTGTAATCAAATGTAAATTAACACTGCAGTTTATAAATAAAATATACATTACAATATAGTTACAAAAGTTATTTAGTCGAGAGCAGCGAGTGAATTTTCTCTCTCTTGTTGTTTGATTAGTGTTATTATAGAGACCGCAGGAATATTAGTGCTGTCACTTTAAGAGCTGCACGGGTCCAATACACTGATACACACGCGTTAACGTTCACTCAAGACATAACCGACTGTGTTTACGAGGATATTTTGACATATTTTTGTGTATTTGTCCATTCAAGTGCAAAAAGACGCGGAAGAGAACTCAGTTCAGTGTCGCGCAGTAAACCGAATGAGGGCAGAACACATTTTTGCGGTCAAAAACTAAAGACGCATGTCAGTGGAAAGAAAAAAAGCGCAAGGTCTAGAGATGCATTTTTTTAAAAGTGGAACTTATTTTAACTTGAGCGCTGCATTTTTAGGGCCCTATCATACACCCGTTAGTTTTTTGCTAGTTTCAGCCTGACGCAGTTTTCATTTTCACGTCCTGCGCCACGTTGTTTAAATAGCGAATGCATTTGTGCCCATCTGTGCGCCCATGGGCTGCTGGTCTAAGAACGAGGTGTGGTGCAATTTGAGGAACTGAAATAGACTGAGCCATTGACCAACTGAAACCTGGTCTAAAGTCAATGGCGCAGTATTTCTTTGTTATTTAAAGGGAGCATTAGCAGGGCTCTCAAGTGTCACGCATTGAGCGTGACAGTCACTCATTTCGGTCTTTTGTCACGCCCTCCCACCACACATTGTATTTCTCACGCTGAAAAACTATTTATAATATATTTAATATGCCGCAGCGCCCCAAATGTCTCTGGCCGCATCGCTCTCACTATGGAAACGGCAGGAATCAAGCGCGTCTCCCCTGAAGTTCTTAGTTGAGCCTGCCACTTATCAGCCAATAAAAAAAAAGAAAGGGGCTACACAATAGCCAATCAGAAAATAGCAGTATTGTATCTGGGTAAGATTCAAGATAAGTCATGATCTGCTGTTTTAATGTTACAAAAAATTCACAACTTGTTTGACACAAACAATGACAACTTGACTGCTGTTAGAGAATGTTTCCCAGATAATTAGCATCAGTTTTTCATGAGTGTCTGTAACTTAGCCAACAGTTTTACAGCCTGTTCACTGACAACACCTGCTCAGAACAAGTAGTTTAGGCCTAGTCATATTTTCGTTATCACACGATGACTGACATATTGTCAGATTATAAACATCTCTCTCTCCAAATAGGCTTAATCATTTTATAAGCACTAAATAAATTCAAGTGTATTGCACAGTCGATGTTATAGGTCACTTTTAAAATCATGTCATATTTTATAATTATATTCCTGGCCATGGATGTATTAATCATTGCATCTGTCTTTCAAAGATGTCAGGTAAAAAGCAATTAAGCATCCTCTCATTCGCCCTGAGAGGAAAGCCCCCTAAAAAGGCCAGGTTAGAGGATGCCGGCCCAGAGAAGGTGGCGAAGAAAGAGTAGGGGTTTAACCCAGGCATCCTGGCCAAAATTGCCCCTTGGCCTCTTCATCAGCTTCATCACTCTGTCTCCAGTAAGCTGGTGTGTGGTGGGCGTTCTAGTGCAATATGGCTGCCGTCGCATCATCCAGGGGTGTGTTTCCCGCACAACGCCGTAACTCGCTGCTTCACTATCATAGTACGATGCATCGTTGAAGAAATCAACTAGCTAGTCACGACTGTTTCCCGAAACCATATTGTCGCAAAGTGGTCGTTCAACCACGTTGGTTTATGACGTCCATAGATATATACACTAGGCAGTTCATGGAACGAATGCGTCAATTCGTCTTTGGCTAAGCCACACCCTAGAATGTAGATTGACCAATCACAGCGCAGGCAAGAACGAGCTCCCACAGAGGTCCGACACTTTTTCACAGCGCTCCATTGACTTTAACACGGGCGTCTCATATTTTTGGTCTCGGTAGGCTATTACCCTCGTAGTTTTATGAACAATATGGTTAAACGTTGTGCCTGGGGCATTTGTAACACAGATACGCGTTTCCCAGAGAGGTTGGAGGGGGTGTCCGTTTTTTCCCCTTCCCAAAACCGAAGTCAAATCCTGACAAGTGTCGTCTAGCACACGCTGCTAATAAATACACCGTTATACTCGCGTAGTCCGTTTGCTTTGTAATAACGATTATAGAAGGGAATAGAGACCTACCCAGCTTTCCATGAACAGTGTTGCTCCTTGATATTGTTAGTCCCAGCCTCCGTCTCCATTAGTAGGATATGCGGTGGCTCATTTGTTGACTGTGTATGACTCTGTATGCTTTTGCATCTTTTGGATGCCTTGTTGTTCCTTGCGTTTCATCTGTATGTCGTGAATATAGCCTTCGAACGTATATCGCAGCCCCTTTGGCCTACTTCTGAAGTTTGTTTGTCGGACGATGTATTTATCATTGAGTCCAGAGATTTAAAAAAAACAAAACATTCTTCCTAGTTCAGATTTCGTTCGTGTGAACATCCATACGCAGCACAAAAGTCTGAAAATCCTTGAATTCGAAGTACAGGCGGAGATAGCAGCGTAACCTAGAGCTACTTCCTATGACAAGACCCCTGTTCCAAGATGGCGGCGGTTTTGACGCATGCTTAGAACCCCAAGGCGACATCTAGTGTACATATCTATGTATGACGTCACGCAGGTGTTGGAGTAATAACTTCTTTTAATGAAACTGTTTGAGATCGAATTAATGCGAGATGTTTTGATATAAATGACGATCATGGCATCTGAGGAATATCTCTCATTTTTCTCAGTTATTTTGCCTTATTTCCAGATTCACTCATAGTCTCGTTGTCACACACTAGAGCTCGTTTACACATGCGCACTCTTCACAAACTACCGGTACACTTTAAATCTCTTGACAAACTCAAAGACCTAGTTCTAGATTAAAGACACCGGTTGCACTGAATGTCAGCTTGCTTATTTTGCTCAAGATCAGGATTTATTGAGTCCACATGTCATGAACACTAGAAACTCTGCTTCTAACCACAGCTCGAGATCTGTCGCTCACACACACAACTCTGAGATGCTGTCGCTCACACACACAACTCTGAGATGCTGTCGCTCACACACACAACTCTGAGATGCTGTCGCTCACACACACAACTCTGAGATGCTGTCGCTCACACACACAACTCTGAGATGCTGTCGCTCACACACACAACTCTGAGATGCTGTTTGTGAATGTTCATTAGAACGATGGTTTCGGGAAACACAGACTCGTTAAACTGATGATAACGACAGATTTTGCGAACATAGTTGGCTAACGATGCTTTCGGGAAACACACCCCTGGTGGTGCTGCACATTGGTGGTGGTTGAGGAGATTCCCCCTTCCATATGTAAAGCGCTTTGAGTACCTAGAAAAGCGCTATATAAATGTAAACGAATTATTATTATTATTATAAGAGAACAGGGACAACCCTTTTATACCATGCACCGGACCCGTCGACCATTTTTCCCGTCGTTAAACTAGCAATAGACGTCAGACACGCCCTAAGTGCACTTAGCTTAGATCATTAAAAGAGGGCCCTTAGACTGCCGTGTCATGTGCGAGATGCTGCAAAAGCCACGAGACGCGAGCGTAACGGTTAAAGACATCCGTCCAGTGCGTGATTATACCGGACGCGTTTGGGTGCGGCTTTCTGTGCGCACGTCGTTTTAGATGTGTGAGCAGCACAGAGATCAGCACGCGTGTCTTCTTGCGCTCGAATGGTTTGAAGTCATATTAAAATGCACACAAAGGAATCGATAAGAGGAATCTAAATTTTAATTCCTGACCTCAAGTATCCGATTCCCAACCCTACTCACAGGTTAATACTCTAGTTCCCAGTACAGCTCCAGTCTTGTTTTGACGTTGGCTTAAGCGTTCCGCTCTCTTTTATATCGTTTTCCCATTTTGCAGGTCTAAAAGAAAGCTCCTGGGTCGTAAAGACTCCTTTGAAAATAAACAAGGTGACCCTGGCGCTCAGACACTCGGCAGCGGAGCGTCCAAGATCAGCTCTCAAAATGACAACTTCATGGCTTTTCTGAGGAGGACGAGAAGCGCCAAGGCTGGTTGCAGTGAACGAATCTCAGCCACAGAGCTCCTCAGAAGCTCCAAGCCCTCTGTTACCATTGCAGAAAACATCACACATTGCAAAAATAGCTATGTACAGTCACACGGCCCATAAAGTAGACTTTTTTCGCCCATCCACACCAGTTTTTTCACCACAATACCTTGTCAAAGTTTCCGAAACAATATCAAAGTGTCAAAAAAACGAGCTCGTAAATATGCGTTTGGAACCCAAGACATTCAAATCATCTCTTCCTGAAACATGCATTGTTTTTTCATTGTATTGAATGATAACACAATAGTTTGTAAATTCAAGTATATCTTTATGTGTTAATGTAAATATAAATGTTTTAAGAGTTGAGATGCTATCTATGAGATATAATATTGCAGTTCTTGTCATGAAGTTACTGAATATAAATACATAAATAATTTGTTGTGTTTGGGCTTCCTGCCTTCCATAACGAAGCAGATTATATCAGTGACTGTTTTAAAATGTTCTGCTGTAGATTTGCACATGTTCAGTATATTAAATTGCTTTTCAGAAGTAACTCATGCTTGTTTTTGTGTTTCTTAGAACATTCTCTATTCACTTTTTGGATGCATTTAAATTATTGCTTAAAATGTTTACACATAATTTAAGCTTATGTCTCAATCATGTCTCTCTTCATTTCAAAGAACCATTATTAGACATGCTGGATGTGTGAGGGAGAGCTGTCATAATAACCCACTAAACATTGGATGTCGGATAGACGTGCAGATCATGTCTATATTGGGTCCGCCGGTCCATGACCAATTCTGGACATCTATTCGACGTCCAAACTAGGTCCACTATTTGGACGTACAACCATGACCCAACTTGGACGTCATGTTGACGTTCAACATTTGACCTTTGAACTGGGTCATTTTTTGGACCTCATTTGGACATCTATGACAGGTGCAGGAAATTTACATGATTAATATGCAATATTTTTGTATTAACAAATATCAACATTGGTGTTATCAACATGATTAATACATATGAATACAGATTATTTATGATCATTTTCCAAAAACAAATGTGTAATGCTGTTGCTCAAACAGTGGAGCGTTGGCGCTTGCAACGCCAAGATCATGGGTTGGATTCCCAGGGAAAGCTAGGAATGTAAATGTGTAATGCAATGTAAGTCACTTTGGGTAAAAGCATTTGCCAAATGCATAAATGTAAATACATGGTACAGAAAACATGTCCTCCACCCTTTTAAAACATGGGACTACAGTTATAGAAGTTAGTCTAAAAACAACGTCTAAAATTAGTCTAAATTTGATGTTGAAAAGATGTCCACAAACGACCACATTTGGTCCCACGGACGTCAACATTAGAGTGCAATATATCCCCCACGACCCTGTCCTGACACCCCATGCCCCCTACGGCCCTGTCCTGACACCCCATGCCCCCTACGGCCCTGTCCTGACACCCCATGCCCCCTACGGCCCTGTCCTGACACCCCATGCCCCCTGCGGCCCTGTCCTGACACCCCATGCCCCCTACGGCCCTGTCCTGACACCCCATGCCCCCTGCGGCCCTGTCCTGACACCCCATGCCCCCTGCGGCCCTGTCCTGACACCCCATGCCCCCTGCGGCCCTGTCCTGACACCCCATGCCCCCTACGGCCCTGTCCTGACACCCCATGCCTCCTACGGCCCTGTCCTGACACCCCATGCCCCCTGCGGCCCTGTCCTGACACCCCATGCCCCCTACGGCCCTGTCCTGACACCCCATGCCCCCTGTGGCCCTGTCCTGACACCCCATGCCCCCTACGGCCCTGTCCTGACACCCCATGCCCCCTACGGCCCTGTCCTGACACCCCATGCCTCCTACGGCCCTGTCCTGACACCCCATGCCCCCTACGGCCCTGTCCTGAAACCCCATGCCCCCTAAGGCCGAGTCCTGACACCCCATGCCCCCTGCGGCCCTGTTCTGACACCCCATGCCCCCTACGGCCCTGTCCTGACACCCCATGCCCCCTGCGGCCCTGTCCTGACACCCCATGCCCCCTGCGGCCCTGTCCTGACACCCCATGCCCCCTGCGGCCCTGTCCTGACACCCCATGCCCCCTGCAGCCCTGTCCTGACACCCCATGCCCCCTGCGGCCCTGTCCTGACACCCCATGCCCCCTGCGGCCCTGTCCTGACACCCCATGCCCCCTACGGCCCTGTCCTGACACCCCATGCCCCCTACGGCCCTGTCCTGACACCCCATGCCCCCTGCGGCCCTGTTCTGACACCCCATGCCCCCTACGGCCCTGTCCTGACACCCCATGCCCCCTGCGGCCCTGTCCTGACACCCCATGCCCCCTGCGGCCCTGTCCTGACACCCCATGCCCCCTGCGGCCCTGTCCTGACACCCCATGCCCCCTACGGCCCTGTCCTGACACCCCATGCCCCCTGCGGCCCTGTCCTGACACCCCATGCCCCCTGCGGCCCTGTCCTGACACCCCATGACACCCCATGCCCCCTGCGGCCCTGTCCTGACACCCCATGCCCCCTGCGGCCCTGTCCTGACACCCCATGCCCCCTACGGCCCTGTCCTGACACCCCATGCCCCCTGCGGCCCTGTCCTGACACCCCATGCCCCCTACGGCCCTGTCCTGACACCCCATGCCCCCTGCGGCCCTGTCCTGACACCCCATGCCCCCTGCGGCCCTGTCCTGACACCCCATGCCCCCTGCGGCCCTGTCCTGACACCCCATGCCCCCTGCGGCCCTGTCCTGACACCCCATGCCCCCTACGGCCCTGTCCTGACACCCCATGCCCCCTGTGGCCCTGTCCTGACACCCCATGCCCCCTACGGCCCTGTCCTGACACCCCATGCCCCCTACGGCCCTGTCCGGACACCCCATGCCCCCTGCAGCCCTTTCCTGACACCCCATGCCCCCTACGGCCCTGTCCTGACACCCCATGCCCCCTACAGCCCTGTCCTGATACCCCATGCCCCCTACAGCCCTGTCCTGACACCCCATGCCCCCTACAGCCCTGTCCTGATACCCCATGCCCCCTGCAGCCCTGTCCTGACACCCCATGCCCCCTACGGCCCTGTCCTGACACCCCATGCCCCCTACAGCCCTGTCCTGACACCCCATGCCCCCTACAGCCCTGTCCTGATACCCCATGCCCCCTACGGCCCTGTCCTAAACGCCACACTTCATGTCCACTTGCGGTCTTCTGGATTGGCTGCCGCGTGCACGTGTCTATTGAGTCCACAAGACCGTACGGTGTCCCATTATCATTTTAGGTTTCAGAAGTGTGTTCTGCGGCTGATAAGTGACCAAAACCGACTTCTCTTCATGCCCCCTACGGCCCTGTCCTGACACCCCATGCCCCCTACGGCCCTGTCCTGACACCCCATGCCTCCTACGGCCCTGTCCTGACACCCCATGCCCCCTACGGCCCTGTCCTGAAACCCCATGCCCCCTAAGGCCGAGTCCTGACACCCCATGCCCCCTGCGGCCCTGTTCTGACACCCCATGCCCCCTACGGCCCTGTCCTGACACCCCATGCCCCCTGCGGCCCTGTCCTGACACCCCATGCCCCCTGCGGCCCTGTCCTGACACCCCATGCCCCCTGCGGCCCTGTCCTGACACCCCATGCCCCCTGCAGCCCTGTCCTGACACCCCATGCCCCCTGCGGCCCTGTCCTGACACCCCATGCCCCCTGCGGCCCTGTCCTGACACCCCATGCCCCCTACGGCCCTGTCCTGACACCCCATGCCCCCTACGGCCCTGTCCGGACACCCCATGCCCCCTGCAGCCCTTTCCTGACACCCCATGCCCCCTACGGCCCTGTCCTGACACCCCATGCCCCCTACAGCCCTGTCCTGATACCCCATGCCCCCTACAGCCCTGTCCTGACACCCCATGCCCCCTACAGCCCTGTCCTGATACCCCATGCCCCCTGCAGCCCTGTCCTGACACCCCATGCCCCCTACGGCCCTGTCCTGACACCCCATGCCCCCTACAGCCCTGTCCTGACACCCCATGCCCCCTACAGCCCTGTCCTGATACCCCATGCCCCCTACGGCCCTGTCCTAAACGCCACACTTCATGTCCACTTGCGGTCTTCTGGATTGGCTGCCGCGTGCACGTGTCTATTGAGTCCACAAGACCGTACGGTGTCCCATTATCATTTTAGGTTTCAGAAGTGTGTTCTGCGGCTGATAAGTGACCAAAACCGACTTCTCCCCGACAGTCAAAGCGGCGTTACGTCATGAAAGTGTGGATTAGGGAGCATTTGGGACAGAGCCATTGTTGAACTTTCTCTCCTGCGACCCAGAATGAGCGGCGCCCTCTACTGTACAGCCGTGAATGTGCATGTGCTTATTCATTTCACTTTTGGTGTAAAAGGGACTTTTTACATTTGCCATAACTACGCAGATTTTTTGGTTATTTTTTTGTTTGTTATTTTTTTGTTTTTCTTGTTTGTGAGAAAAAGTGACACATTAAAAAGTAACCTAACGCATTACTTTCCATAAAAAAGTAGCTAACTAAGTAACCCAATTAGATACTTTTTAGGGAGTAATGTGATATTGTTTGTAACACATAAGTTTCCCCAACACTGTCCAGGACTGATGTTGCAGATCAGACTAAAGACTTCAGGAGGCTCCTGGAGAAAGCAGTGAGGATCTGTATCTTCCCTATGGGAAAACAAGAGGAAAATGTCATGATCCAACATCACTGATGCGCTGGAACATCTCAAGTTATAACCACACATCATCGGCGATCCCGAGTCCGAGTGTATCTTCGTACCTCTTCTTACCTGAAGACTTATAACATATACTAGATCTCACAAGACTAAAGTTTGACTGCAGACTCTGAAAGGATAGAGACACACTTTAAAAATAAAGGTCAAGAACCTTTTACATCCATGGAAATCTGTCCATCCCACAAAAGGTTTACAGTGGAAAACAGCTCCTCACTCAGTGTTAAAATGATTTTAATCCTTGTGCATCTCTTAAAAGAAGTTACACATATAGGTCCATTGTGGACAGAAATGTCCGTGTCATAAAAATATGCAGCATGACTAAAGTTTGGTCTCATTTTAAAGAAGAATAAAATAAAATAAAATAAAAAAGTGACACCAAAAAAAAGTTATAGAGGTTTATGTTTATGAAAATTATTTATGAACAATATTTTATATAATATATGTATTTTATAAAATGGGTTGAACTCTAAAACTGCTAGAAATTGTTTCAAATGTGAGGTTGACATCTCAAAAACTGAGCTTTCGGTGAGATGTTGTTCTGGTGCAGTAACAGGTTTCCCCCGTTGATGCCAGTAAAACTCACTGGGACACACTGGTTGCATCTGGGATTTGTAGTAGAGTTTTGCTCTCTCAAATATTACATACACACACACGCAATTTTTTTTTACTACCACACTCTGACACGTAGCAACACACACACACACACACAATTATAGCTGCATAATTTATCCAATTGGCTTTATAATATGCAGAAGCAGAAAACAGGAAAAAAGTGAGTATTTGCTTTATAGAAAATATCATTATCTCGTAAAAAAAAAAATAAGTACATTTGACGCCTTGCCAACTGAATGAAAGCCTCTGAACAAAGATTGCATCATTTTATAGTTAAATGGCTCCGTGATTAAAAATTGCAGTTGAACATTTTTGTCCAAAAGACGCCGAGAGGAACTATTGTGTGTGTAAAATAGATTTATTAAAGGTAATGGGGGTGACATAGTAAAATTACAATAAAATCCATGCACCTGTGCCAAAATTTGTGCAGTTTGCATTAACACAGGAACAATTATCCAAAAAAAAACTGAAAAAGACAAAAATGTCCATAAAATTGCAGGTTAAGATTAAGAAAAAGGTTATTTTGGGTTCTTTGGGGATCATCGCTGTAAAAACCTCGTATTTCTAGGAGTGTAATAGTGCTGGATGGATGAGGACAGATTATAATTCTGCAGGACACCAGTCTATTCAGAGATCAAAATAATGAGAAATTATTAAAAGACTACATTTTAGTAAGAGGATCTCTGGATACATGGCTCTGATGTCTATAAATAGCCTTTTGGGCTGTAAGACTGAGATTCGTTACTCTGAACACATTATCACTGGAAACATGAAAAGAGAAAGAATTTTATAATATTGCAGTTCTGGAATGAATAAAACAAGATCATTTGTAAATGCTGTTATTTTGAACTTTCTATTCATCAAAGAATCCTGATTTTTTTTTTTTACACAATAATACAATGTTTTTATTATTTTTATTATAGTTTTGTAGCATCAAATCCTCATATTAGAGTGATTTCTGAAGGGTCATGTGACACTGAAGACTGGAGTAATGATGCTGAAAACTCAGCTTTGATCACAGGAATAAATTACACTTTAAAATAAAAAACAGTTATTTTAAATTGTCATTATATTTAACAATATTACTGTTTTTTGTTTTGTTTGTTGTTGTTGTTGTTGTTGGTGAGCAGAAGATACTTTTTTTAAAAACTTTAAAAATCTTACTGATCCCAAACTCTTGAACGGCAGTGTTCGATATAAATATTACATTTAGTTATGTTGAATTGTGACATTTTTCAATATTTTCGGTACCTCTGCCTATGCAGTGTGTGTTGAAACACGAGTGTATATAGCCTATTAATGTGCAAGGACACACTGATGTAGACTGTTTATAGATTTAATAGCCTGATATTCAAATATATCCTTCTAAAACATGCAACCTCAGTAACTTGATATATCCTCTCAGCCCACATGCATTACAGCATTAGGCCTTTTAGACTCGGATATGTCAACATTTGAGGGATCTAAGGATTCTCATCATCAGCCAACTTCATGTGTGTTGTTTATTTCTTTCATAGACTCATTTAATTCCTATTGCTATTATTTTCTATTACGGTATGTTGTGTGCTGTGTTGTAGTTTGAGATAAGAGAATGTCAAGGTTTATTGTGAAGCACTAAAGACTGGCTGGATTTATGACCGTCAGATGCAACTGAGATTATTCAATAAATCCTGCTCAGGGTCTAACACATTCATAATGAGTATTTATGACAGTAAATTCAGATACAACATTTTTTTTTTATTAGGACAAAAGAAAAATGTGCAGTGGAAACACATCTGTTGATAAGGTGCATGGAGGGATATTGACAATCATCTGAAATCGTGTCAGATTCGGTCAGTATAAACATCAGACAAACTAAAAGAAAAGAATAAACTTCCTCCATCCTCACAAACATTCATCATATGACGATTGTATATAATTACAATGAGATCAAATGTCAGTATATTTGAGATTGCAGCAAACTATATATATATATATTTTTTTTTACATTACCACTTTCTAGCCACATGGTTTCTATACTTCAATTTCTTGTGATACTATTATTTTAAAACTATTTGAATAGTGTCATAATAATACAAATTATTATAATAAAGAATGAGCAGGAGTGTCCAAACTTTTGACTGACAGATCAGCGCGAGACACTATGCCCCTGTCAGTCCTTAAAATCGTTCAATATTTTATTTTCAATATTAAAAAAATGTAAAACTGCATTCTTGTGTGAAATAAACCGTCTCGTTCTCGCCTTTTGGCTCTTATTTTCATTCCAAATATATTTATTCCAGCACCAGGACACAGAGGCAGCGCGCTCCTCCAATCAACAAGAAGCTATTGCTGGAACGACGGCTCTGATTGGTTTAGAGTGCTGTCTGTCACACGAGTGGACCAATCAGCGGCGTCTCCTGACGCCGTTCACCCCGCGCTGTACGCTGACGTGCGCGTCACGTGATGTTTTCGCTGGGCTGTAGTGATGTGTAGCCACCATGAGTGAAGCGGGCAAATAAAGATTTATAATGGCAGCGAGCGATGATGGAGGCTCCGCGAAGATGCAACGTTTCGTCGTGCTTGTCGTGCTGAATAATCACCGCGGCGATACATCGGAAAGCAGCACGGATTACTCGAACGTGTAATTGTATCAGAGCTAGCCAACAAAATGGGCCGTGCATCGGCGTAAAGCTGAGGTAAAGTGACCTTTCATTGCATTGTCCCATGGAAGATCGGCCGCATTTACCGAATCACGGCGTCATGTTGACATTGGAGGCACAACCGCGTCGCGTTGTCACGAAAACGACCGCGACTAACGGCGACATCTCTTGTGCTACCGGGGAGCCACCATCCTCATCATCTTCCTCCACCACCTCAATCAATAACAGCTCCCGTTTGCCCATGCACTTAACAGCCTCCTCTCATTCTCAGCCACAGAGGAGGTACCATCCGCCTTACCACTTTAAAGTGCATCATCTGTTCCCAGATGAGAGCCCTCAGGATGCTGTATTGAGGAAGAACCTGCCACCCCTCCAGTATAAGGTGCACGACTCTGCCTTCTGCCGCGTACTCAGCGCTGACACCACCGCTGCCGCCCTGGCCGCCGCTGCCGTCTGCTCCGCCGGCGTGGACCGGGACATATGGAAATGTGGCTATCTCCGAAAACAGAAACATGGCCACAAGAGGTTCTTTGTCCTTAGGGGCCCCAGCAACCTCGGGCCTAGTCGGTTGGAGTACTATGACAGCGAGAAGAAATTTCGAAACGCCCTTAAAGCTGCTGCCTCCGGTGTTACATGCCCTGCCAAAAGGGTGATTTACCTATCCCAGTGTTTTACGGTCAACAAAAGGGCTGATGCCAAGAACAAATACCTCATTGCCCTTTATACTAAAGACGAGTACTTTGCGGTGGTCGCCGAGAGCGAACAGGAGCAAGAGGAGTGGTACTTGTCGCTCACCGAACTTATGACGGAGGGAAAAAAGGGGCAGTTGGACAACGACGAACTTGACGACGGTTACGGTACGATTTCGCCGGGGACTATTTTCAAGGAGGTGTGGCAGGTAAACGTCAAACCTAAAGGCTTGGGTCAGACTAGGAATTTAATGGGGGTGTACCGTCTGTGCCTTTCCCCCAAAACTATTCACCTGGTGAAGCTGAACTCGGAGACGCCCGCCGTCAACCTGCCGCTGATGAACATCCGCCGCTGCGGCCACTCCGAGAGCTTCTTCTTTATCGAGGTGGGCCGCTCTTCTTCCATCGGCCCCGGTGAAATCTGGGTGCAAGTCGAGGACTCTGTGGTAGCGCAGAACATGCACGAGACCATTCTGGACACTATGAAGGCTTTGAAGGCCTTTCCGGACTTTAGGCCGCGGAGCAAAAGCCAGTCCTCCAGCTCAAATCCAATGCCGTTTATTACGACTCGTCGGCATCTCGGCAACCTTCCCCCAAGCCAAACCGGACTGCAGCGCCAGTCCAGAACAGATTCGGTGACGGGAACGCCGCCATCCGGGAAAAACAAAGGGCGAGGTCAACGCTACCGGACGTCCAGCGAGGGCGAAGGCACTCAAGATCGACCCCTCAGCTCTGGCACGGGAAGCCTTGTGCATCTAAACACCCCAATCCTCAGTGTGGGCCGAGAAGAAAGCGGCAGCTGCTGCACTCACGCCTCACCAAATTCGAGCCAGCACACCCGCTCCGCATCACTTCCTGTGTCTCACTTCCTGTCCGCCACCAGCCCCATTAGCGTGTCCAGCAGCAGCGGACACGGCTCGGCCTCCGACACACACACTCGCCCCTCTAGCTCCTCCATTTGTGGCTCGCCAAGTGACGGCGGCTTCAACTCCTCTGACGAATTCTGCCCGAGCCCGTGTGACTTCAGGTACTTCCACGCAAGTTGCACCACTCCCGAATCCAACGGCGGCACGCCTCCGATTAGGGAAGACTACCGTCTGACTGAATACATGACCATGGATTGGCATAAAGATGGAGCGAGGACTTTCGAAGAGGAGAGCAGTTACATGGAAAGGACTTTTCTCAAGCTAGCACATTCGTCCAAGCCAAAACTCGGCGGGAGTTTAAGCGTCACGCAGCAGAAAGCTACGCAAACCTCGTCCTCTTTGGACGAACCGAGCCCGGTGGAGTCGAAGCGACACCAGGTTTGCTCGTGTATCCTGAAGTCAGCTTATAAGTCTGAGTTGCATTATCCAAACAAGCCTCTCTTGCTCAGCTCCGAGTGTCAGAAGAAACTCCCAAAAGATGACGGCTACATGCCTATGATTTACAGCATCGCTCCCTCTCCGAATGCAGATTACACCCCTATGCATCCCAGGGCAAACCAGCAAGCGGAACGATTCGGCTACATGATGATGCTCCCGGGCGACGGCACGTCCAGCAGGGAGCAGGCGGAGTACGACGACTACATGGACATGTCCCAACTCACCGTGGCTGAAGGCTTTTCCCAAGCCTCACCGGAAGGCCCGAAGGCCTCATACTTCTCTCTCCCGCGCTCCTACAAAGCCCCGTCCCGAGACAAGCACCAAAAGATGGACTACATTCCCATGTCTCCACCCGATCCCCAAACCCCGCCTAGTCCCGGAGAGTACATTCACATGGACTTTGGGTCGCGTCCCTGTCACATTGCAGTGTCGCCGTCCTCCGTAGACTCGCCCTCAACTCCGCCGCCTTCCCAGCCCTGCTATCACCTATGTTGCTCCTCACCGGATCATGACTATTTGGGACTAAACATGGATAGCCTCCTGAAGGACCGGCCTCCTCGGCACTCGCTTGTAGCTCCGTGGAACCCTCCTAACTACGCCCGTCCCTTGGGATGCTCCTATGGACAAGCGTCCGCTAATTTAGATCCCGAGAAAACGCACGACGGAGACGGTCCGTTGAGAACGATGCAGCATCTTTGCGTCTCCGAACGGCTCGCTCACACGGAGCCGAAGGTCATCAGGGCGGATCCGCAGGGAAGGAGACGACACAGTTCAGAGACTTTCATCCCGTCACCTGCTTCGTTCGCTAGCAGTTGCGGAATCAGACCCTCAGCCAATCAGAATCCCCCGGAAGCTAGCAGATGGCAAAACTCCACCTCCTTCGATAGCATGTGGTCGCACTCGGACGCCGCTACCGCCTCATCCAGCTACCTCAACTACATCGCTCTGGACCTGAGAGGCGTGGCCAGAGCTGCCCGTGACACGCCCCCTCCGCGCACCGCTAACAGCAACCTCCAAGAGAGCGATGCGTACGCTGGTATAGACTTCTCCGTTTCGGGAGGACGTGCCACTGCCTCAAAAGGTTGGTTGCATCTCTGTCTCCCATTATGCTACAAGATAAGTGACCGCAAGTAAAAGGCTGCATGCTGCGTCAACATTCATTTCTGAGTTTGTCATGTGTGAATGCAAACTATTACGATGTAATGTAAACAGTCTTACTTAAGAAGAAGTTGTGAATTTGCACAGTTTTCTTATATCAAGTCTTTCCTGTTGTCCTGAGACGAGACGATGGAGTAGAATTGTCATTTCAACTTGCTGTTGTTATAGTGAAAAATATCGCTGTTGCTTTCAAAGACATTCTTTTTTTTTTTTTTTTTTTTGATTGAACATGATTTTGAAACTTGGTTTTGCACACTTTGAAAAGCACTGGGTAAAGAGCACTTCATGATGCGCACAGATGTTGTGATGTGCAAGTATGATATTAAAGGAATCCACTTGCATGCTGCATAAAATACTCGCTTTCACAGTTTTGACGGTCAAAGTAAAACTTTTACCAAGATGACTTAAAATGTTTGAATTCTTGGTCTATCAAAGATGCATTCCTGCTGATGATGATTATTTTCTTTCACACCTACATCATTTCAACAAAAAGTTTGCGGGTGACATTGCACTCACTTTATCATAAAGTAAGCTGAAGGTGACAATTTGTCTTGCTTATTTGCTTGCAATATTTATAAAAGCTTTGATTAGACTTGCACTCACACTATATTACATCTTCTGTTAATGAAAAAAAAAAAAAAGGAAATTCCACACACTATAAGCAAAGGTTAAAGGTTAGTTCACCCGAAAATAAAAACTCATAATTTACTCTCCCTCAAGTTCTTTAAAACCCGTATGAGTTTGTTTCTTCTTCCGAACACAAAATATGATAAATATGAGTAACCAAACAGTTTATGGAACCATTGACATCCATAGTATGGGAAAAAAATACTATGTAATTCAATTTTGTGTTCGACTGAAGAAAAACTCATGCAGGTTTTGAACTAGAAAATTATGACAGAATTTTAATTTTCGGCTGAACTGTCCCTTTAAATGTTATTTTTTTACTCTTAAGAGATGATCTATCATAAGAGATGAGAAGTGTTTATTTTCTGAAATCATTCAACCTATCCATATAAAAAGGTTTTGCTTCTAAGTGTTTAGAAAAACAGCTGTCTAAACATCATCATTATTCATTATTCCAATTTATGGTTATATTTTTCAAAAATTTATTCTGCTGTAAAACAAAAACAAAAAAACATTAATAAGTTGAAATAAATCTGGATCCCAATCAGTTTTGTCCTTAACAATGCATAATAGACTTTAATGTTAATATTAAGGTAGTAAACTTTAAAAAAAAAAAAAGCTGCTGATTTATGTGGTTCCAGTTTACAGGTGAAACTCGAAAAATTAAAATATCGAGCAAAAGTTTATTCATTTCAGTAATTCACCTTAAAAAGTGAAACTAAAATATTATATAGACTCATTACATGCAAAGTGAGATATTTCAAGCCTTTATTTTTTATAATTTTGATGATTATGGATTACAGCTTTTCACAATATTGTAATTTTGAATTTGGGGTTTTCATAAGCTGTAAGCCATAATCATCAAAATTATAACAAATAAAGGCTTGAAATATCTCACTTTGCATGTAATGAGTCTATATAATATATTAGTTTCACCTTTTTAGTTGAATTACTGAAATAAACGAACATCTGCACAATATTTTTCGAGTTTCACCTGTATAAATGAGCTCTAATTCATAAAGATAAAGTTGCTAGACATCCAAAGTGACTTATTTTGAATGAAAGCTACCCTGATCGCACACGTACATCACGGAGACGTCTATTTGATGTGTGTTTACATACATCTGGAAGACGTATTTTTTTTAGAGTGTTTGCTCATCTGCGATACGTCTATAGGACGTTTCCGGTCAGATGTCAAATAGACGTTTAGAAGATGTCTTTAAGATGTGATGACTTAGAATGTATGTTGAACTGACATCTTAAAGATGTCTATCAGATGTTAGTAAACTTTCCAGATGAAGTGATCTTTAACAGACATCTTGCAGACGTACGTGTGCCATGTAATAATTCCCCTGGAAATCAAACCCAGGAATGCTAATATCTAACATCTCTATCTCCTCATCCCTGCAGATTGAGTGAGTAATACAACGGTGCCCGAAGGAGAATCAGGACACGACCTCTGGAACGATGACGAAGAGGAGTCATCTTCGTCCTCCTCCTCCTCCTCAGACCTCCAACAACACAGACTGAGAAACTGCACAACCTCTTACGCTCCGTGTTTCCCACATAACTGCCTCAACAACCGGTTTCATTTGTCTGTTTCTGTCCGAATGAGACTGTTTTTTGTTTAGTTTTCGGTCTTGTTTACTAGAGCGGGTTCGCTGACTAGAACTGTGAGCTTCAGATATCTAGCACTTCTATTTTTGTGTGTACGAACAAACTGAAACGCATCATGGCTCTTGGTTACAGGTTTGTGTTTCTCCGCGCCGGATCCGTGTAAATAGGAGAAGCTTGTATATTGAATCTCATTTTTGTAAAGGGAGCCACTCCTCAAGACGCTCGCCGCACTTAGTTCCACTGGTTTTTGATTTGTATAAAGTCAAATATTTTTTCAGGGGTGGAGTTTGTCTCGCTTTATGAGTCGTAAAACGTCTCTCGGCGCATTGATACGAGAGTGTCCGTTAAAAACGTTAAATTGGGCGAGTTTAAAAAGTACGCGACACTTTTCCAATCGAGCACTTTTTTTTTTTTGACGTGACAGTGTTTCTGAGTTGCTACCTCATGAAAACGCTCACGAAATCCTCGTATTAGTATTAATGTGAAGTCAAGTGATGCAAAATACCGTTTCTCCACGACCACGGCTTTCCTGTCCTCGTTTAAAATGCAACGCGGCATTGTTTACATAGACGGCGGGTGTTTTTGACGCCACTTCTCGTGGTTTTCAGTATTTGCATTTCACTACTAGTCTTACAAACTGCCACATCACAGCAGGATGACGTCGTGCTACTCTGCATTCCACACGTTTCGTTTATTTATTGATTATTTATTGATTATTTATTGACCGTTTACGGCACGGTTTGAGAGCGGGAGTTCAGTGTATATATATATATACAACTTCAGAAAACCTCTCATCTCTCGGGCCTTTTTTTCTAGTCCTTTTCCTCTGCTTGTACCTGAAAGCTTTATATGAAGAGGTTTTGGGTTGAGGTTGTGGTTGTGGTTGAACGCTGTGTAGTGAGATGTGTAAGCTTTACAGTAGTAGTCCAGATTCTGTTGGGACGAAATCATACGTCAGTGATTTTTCCACTCGTTTGGGTTGCGTCACACTCGTTGGCGCGCTCTTTTTTTTTGACTAGCTATTGTGTCATGATATCGCGTTGCTTTAATGTAAGTAAAATGTGAGATGAAAAAAAAAAACAGTAGTATACCGTTTCTTGGGGATTTTGCTACACAATAACTACCGTGACAGCCTGGGAAATAATCAAACGTGTGTTTTTTTTTATACTTGGGGCTCTACTGAGGTTATATTTTGGGGATTCTGATATTGTGTCGAGTTGTTTGCCTTTTACAATGATTGAAAGGAAGAGTTGGACAAAAAAAAAAGAAAAAAAGAAGAAGCATTTGAGTGTGTCAACAGTTTGCTGTTCATATGGTCAGTACTCAGTTATGCTGAAAGCTTGTTGAAACATGTCGATAATAATGACTGAACCATTATCAGCGCCGTCTTCCTTTTGTAAATATTGTAATTTTTGATATCCCTTCTCTAGTCGACATGCTACACCTCGTTTGGTTTCAAGGATGAGGGTGTTTGAGTTCTTTTTTTTTTTTGGTCACTTCTACATTTTTTATATTTTTTTTTTTTTGTGTATATTTATTAGATTGTTTTTGCTTGTAATAGAGCTATTGCAATAAAAAAAAGTGCCAAGGTATCTCCTTTCTCGTGTCTTGTATGATGCAACATGGCTGTGGACATGTAAGACCGCAGGTTTACACTCATAGTCCTGTACAGTAGTTGATATCGCTGACCTCTACTGGACAAAAAAGAGAATATTTACTATTTACTCTCTGAAGACCATGTCCTTGAAATTAAGCCTTAAATACAGGTGAAGCGTGCAAAAGTTAATTTATTTCAGTAATTCAACCTAAAAGGTGAAACTAATATATTATATAGACTCATTACATGCAAAGTGAGATATTTCACGCCTTTATTTGTTATAATTGTGATGATTATGGCTTACAGCGTATGAAAACCTTTTCACAATATTCTAATTTTGAATTTGGGGTTTTCATAAGCTGTATAATCATCAACATTATAACAAATAAAGGCTTGAAATATCTCACTTTGCATGTAAAGAGTCTATATAATATATTAGTTTCACCTTTTAAGTTGAATTACTGAAATAAATGAACTTTTGCACCATATTCTAATATTTCCAGTTTCACCTGTGTGTAAATAGTCCATTAGTAAATCAAGTCACATTGCCTAAATTACTATATTAAAAACTAAAGAAGAAACAAAGCTACACAATTTAAGTTAAGTGAAATAAAAGTCACATTTTTCATTTATTTGATAAAAATATATAGTAAAAATGGTTAAGTATTACAATTTAAAATAGATTTTAATATTTGTTTTTAAGTGTAATTTATTCCTGTGATCAAAGCTGTATTTTCAGCTTCATTACTCCAGTCTTCAGTGTCACATGATCATGCAAAAATCACTCTAATATGATTTATTATTAATGTTGGAAACAGTTGTGCTGATCAATATATATTTTTTAATAACCTGTGATACTTTTTCAGGATTCATTGGTTAATAAAAAAAAACAAATAAATAATTAAAAAAAAACATTATTTACAATAGAAATATTTTGCAACAATATACACTATTGTTCAAAAGTTTGGGGTCACTTTTTTTTTAAATTTATTTTATTCTGCAAGGATGTGTTAAATTATTATGGGTTAATATTTTTTTAAAACTTTGTATTAATCAATGAATCCTGAAAAAGTATCACTGAAAAAGCACAAAAAAAATAGTAAGCTATAAATATTAATGTTTCCAACATTGATATTAAATCATATTAGAGTGATTTCTGAAGGATCATGTGACACTGAAGACTGGAGTAATGATGCTGAAAAATATCACAGGAATAAATTACACTTTACTATTTGTTTAAAATTGTAATAATATTTCACAATATTACTGTTTTTACTGTATTTTTGATCAAATAAATGCAGTCTTGGTGAGCACAAGAGTAAAGTTTCCAAACTTTTGACTGGTACTGTGTGTGTGTGTGTGTGTATATATATTAGGCCAATACATTCTTTCTTTAAAGAAGTTAAATATTAATATTAAATCAATATTATTTCATTCATCCACCACTGAAGAGTCGCGCTCAGAACAAAGACGGGACAATAAACGATACGTAATTAGGTAGTTTATTTGTTCTAAAAAAGTGATAGGACCAATCCAAAACACGATAACATATTTAAATATCTTCATTTGAAGCCATATTTACAGATGTGCAGGGGTGGGTGACATAATTAACCCATTAAAAAGGAAAGGAAACATCACCTTTACCAGTCAAAAACATAAATATGTCAAATAGAGGCACTTTTTTTACCCAGTAAGGTTCCTTATATAACACTGAATAAGAGATTGAGTGTTATTCTGCATATGGTTGATCTTCTGCGGTCAGGAGGTAAGTGTGTGTGTGTGTGTTACAGATATCATCCTCATGAAAGCCTTCACCACTCCATCATACAGTATACGAGAAAGTTCATGCAACTGGTCCAGCTCCCAGTTTCTGCAGTTAAACACAGGCCTGTGAATGAGGCAGACGTCACACACACACACACCGCTGCGACGGGATCCTTGGCTGGTTGTTTTCTCCTGTTTCCACAGATAGAAGCACGAGCTCGTGTTTTGTGCTGTGTGTGTTGATCTGAGGCACTTGTGGAGCGGAGAAAGGGCTTCAGACACCCGACCGGCCCCGAGATCACACGTTTAGGATCTCAAACTCCTCTTCCGACTCAAAAAGCTTGTCTGGAGACTCGATGAACTCTGGAAGAAGAATGACGCTCAGGTTATGAAACACTTATTCACTTTGCCAGTTATCTAGAATGTCTGAAAGTATCCCAGTTTACAGCTGGTATTGAGATGTGTTTTGGTGGATGGGATCACAGGTAGACGAGAGAGACACATTCCCGTTTACACCTGGTGTTTTAATCCGTCCACTTTAACCACTTCTGTCCTGATTTCTTTAGAGGAGGGTCTATGGGCGGGTACATGTGTGTGTGTTTTCAGATCATTCAGAGCTGACGCAATTTACATATGAACACGACCGGAGACTTTAGTTTCTGCTCTTATAGACGCAAGACCAGCCGAACGCTGTGAGTGTGTGTTAGGAATCAGGAACGCTGAGAGAACATTGTGTTTGGTACGTTTTCCCTCTTCAAACCAAACTTGTGTCTTCAGCTGATAAAGTTTAAACCCCGTCTGGCTAGATCTCTATAATGTTCACTCATTATTCAGGAGATGGAGAGAAGACGGTCTTTTAGTGGCTGTTTGAACACATTCGGTCACATGAGCGTTTACACTACGACAGCAATCCGGCCGAATGTGTTTTCAACTGGAAGTGGACGAGCTCAAAGCGCTTTAGACCCGTTTACACCTGTGTGTAGAGTCGTCCACTCGCGATCCCATCGACTGAAACACATCTGAACTCCAGCGGTAAACAGAGTTCACCAAAGCTAGGTTTGGGTATTGTTTGAATTTTAGCAATTCTGATTCGACTTTTTGCTTCTGATTCTTATCGATTCCCAGTTTCAATTCCAATAAAGTAAACAATTTAGATATCAAACTATTTATTCTGTGTCTTTTTGCAAAATATTGAATACCATGCCTATGGTTTTAACCAAAATACAACTAGCCTAACTTATATAAGGTTCAAACATTATTAAAGACAAGGAAACAGTCAGTAATAAAATAAGAGCAAATAAACAAATTAGCGATAGCACAAATAAATACAACTGAACAACGTTCAGGTACAGAAATTGAAATGTAAGATAACACTGCATAGTCTTCACTGTATAAATCCTTATTAAAGCTACAAAAGTGATTCAGTCAAGAGCCGTGAGTGATTTTAGTTAACATTAATGACACAGACGGCGTCGGGTTTATTAGGCTACTGTCACTTTAAGAGCTGCACAGATCCAATACACTGATACATGTTTTCTTTCTCAACTGTTTCCGTTCACCTAAGACAAATCTGACTGTGATTACGAGGATATTTTGACATCATTTTGTGTGTATTTCCTGAAGAGGGAAGTCATCAGACCGGTTCCAAATTACGAGAATGGCACATTTAGATTTAGACGTGTTTACACTAGGGGTCGACCGATTATCGGCGCCAATATCAAGCATTTTTATGGTTATCGGTATCGGCCATTTTCAAAACCGATTTGCCGATAAAATAATTTTATTTTGAAATGCGCTATTTGGCTCTGATGCAGCCACCTTTGTCGGAACTCACCACTCTGTAGACTAGACTAATGTCCCCGCACATCTGATTTGGGCGGCGCTAGGGAGGGACTAGCAGGTGCTTCAGCACCCCCAAGAAAGTCCAAAGCACCCCGATAGCACCCCCCAAAATAATGTCTGGAATCAATTATATTCAAATATATGTTATTTCGAGATATTAAGTCGTTATTTCAATATAATATCTCGGTATTTCGACATAATAACGGCAATTTTTTGTCCCGCCAAAGCCTTTTTCGATCGGTGAGTGATGTAGAATAGAATGACTGCTGCGCTTGACAGGGCGCGTCACGAGCAGAGAGAGAGAGAGAGAGCCCCGGCCACGCGCACTCTCACTTCAAACACTTCTCGCGCATATTAATCAAAATCAATTGACACGATAGTAAAAGGTCGGAAGACCGCAGTTTCACGTGGAGCATTTGGAGATTTGTTCTCCTGAATTACCGCGGTGTGTGAATTGTGCTAAAAAAATCACGTTGCCTAGCTTATCGTCTCTAAAAAGCGTTCCGCCCATTCAGCTGACCTAAACCACATTTCAATAAACGAAAAAACCTATCAGTGATATGTTTTCTGTATTGACGCAAATCTTGTGCGATGTCCTAAACTGCTGAGATAATCACAAGCGTGCCGTAGACGTCCACTAATGACACGTCCGATACACAAACGAATGACTCATTTTAACCATTCACTTTAATGAATAATTAAAACAACTGACATGTCCAACACTGAACTCACGAGACCTCTGAATCGGTGTATAAAAAATCGGTAACACTTAATTAGATTAGTTAACATTTACTAGTAATTAACTGCACTTCAGCATTGTTAATGTTACTTGTTTCAAAATTTAGAGAGTCAGGCCCACTATGTGTGTTGTAGCCAT